CAGGTAAAGAACAAAGGTATAAACCTGAAATACGAAGATGTAGCACTGAATTTGTCCTGGTTCAGGGTACTCTTTGAATTCCAGTAACCTGAAACCTCCTCTTCCACACATGGTTTTCTGCACTGATGTATCTCTGGACCAAAGCCCGAAGGTGAGAAATGTCTATCTCATTCAGAGGCCAGTAAAAATGTCTCCCAAACAGTGTTTAGAGTACAAGGGATTATGAGATGCAGGGTACCAAATGTTTGCCTGGAAGCTGGCATTGACTTCTTCCCAAGTAACTGCAAGGACCTAAGTATTTTGTATGCTTTATTTTTGCAGTGCTGGAATTTGAGCCAAAGACCTTACACATACTAAGCACATACTCTACCACTCAACTACATCCCAGTTCCTGGAACTAAAGTATTTTGAAGGAAGTAAAAGCATATCTCATGACACTGGTTTTAAACTGCAAGTGTGTGCTGAGAAAAGGCTGTGCTAAATGGAGACCAGGTGAATTCTGTGGATCTAAGCAGAATGAGATAGAGACCTTTGCTTCTGTGTGCGGGAAACAGTACGTATTGAACATCTATCCTGCGCCTTCACAGTATTGGGATGGGAATCATAGCATGGGAGCGTGAGAGAGACAATCAAAGTGAAATTAACCACAGTCTTTGTCTGTGGGATGTGCAGGCTAAAGAGAGAAAGTTCACAGTACCTGGGAAATGGAGCAATTGCTAGAAAGGAGCAATACTGGTTATCTTGGGCTCTAAGAGAGGCATAGGCTGCATGGGGGTCCCAGGGACAGAAGGGTAGGAAGGGACCAGCCCTAAAGACATGGGACAAGGCCAGGCCACACCTTGGGGCTGAGCCAAGGGTTACAGTGAGAGGTTGTGGGAGGAGAAGATAGGGCTTTTGCTAAGTCAGCAGATCCTTGGCCAAGTGAGTAGAAACAAGATAAACTATTAACTGAGTCCAAGAGAAACTATTAACTGAAACCAAGTCAAGCCTCAGGATCTGACCAGAAAGTTCTCTAAAGAGGAGTGGTACCCTCAGCCTTCTACAGCAATAAGAAGAAGTATACCTTGTGCCCCACACTGACCTGATCCAACCAAGTGAAAAGACATCCAACTCTGCTGTTGTATTCTTAACACCCCAACACATACCCTGGCACTGGGGATTGAACCCAGAGTCTTCACACTGAGCTACATCCACAGACTTTTTCATTTTTTTGAATCAAGCTCTCTCTAAGCTGCCCATTTGCAAAGAGACTTGCAATCCTCCTGGCTCAGCTTCCCAGAGTGCTGAGATCACAAGAGTACACCATCACTCCTGGCTCTAACTCTGATTTTGGTAGCTGATCCTTTAAATTTCCTTGATCTCTAGGGCCCACATCAGCTGAATCACTGTGGACAAGAAAAAGGGAAACAGAGGACAGCCTGGGTGCATGGACTTTACTGGAATAAGATCTTTCCCTATTAGGCAATATTTGATGGAAGATTTGAAAAAGATAGCTCTGCCCAGGCTTAGTAGTGCTCAGCTACTTTAAAGGCTGAAGCAGAAGGATCGCAAGTTTGGGACAACACAGCAAGATCTCAGCTCAAAATAAAAAGATCAGGGGGTGCAATTCAGAGGCAGAGCACTTGGCTAGCATGCATGAGGCCCTAGGTTCAATCTCTAGTATTGTAAGCAGGAGGAAGATGAGGAGGAGTGGGAAGAAGCAGAAGACGAGGAGGGAGCAGGAGGAAAGAAAGAAGACCAAAAAAAGAGAGCAGGGGGAAGGGAGGAAATGAGACAGCTCTTCAAGAGTGCAGTCCAGAAAGAGACAGCAGCAGCTCCTGGGGAATTACTAGAAAAGCACATTCTCAGGCCTCTCAGCAGGCCAATGCCCATGGGGCATGAGATTGAAGACAGGTGATTCTGATCCATCCTAAAGTTTGAGGACCTGAGGACCATACCCTCCAGCATCCTGCTGTGAATGGCCAATTGTCTGGACTGGGAACAACTGGTATAAACCCACACGGGGAAGGTTGTGTCCTCCGTGTCCTGATGCAGAGCAGCATGGCACAATGGTCACCCTGTACCATAGTGGTCCCAGAGCATCTCAGGAGCCAATAGGTGATCCATCCAGAAGATGTCAGGGTTAATGTTTGGCCTAGACTTGGGGAAGCATATTGAAGGGATCCCTTCTGGGAACAGCCCTAGAGGTTTTGAGGGTGACTAGAAAAAAAATCCAGGCTCAGGATCCTCCTCCATTTGGCCCTGTAAATCTTCAGTCAGTGAGTTTGGCAGCCTCTGCAGAGAAGATGATCCAGCTTGCTCGTGAAAATATACAGGTGGTCTTGAGTAGAAAACATATCCCTTCTTCCTAGCCTAGGCTGAGTCTTCTGTACCATTTGTTTTACTCATCCATTCATTCAAAAGCAATGTTTTAAATACTTAAATTATGCTCAGCAATTATTTATGTCTTCCCCGTCCCTGGTTGGTTCTATACATAATTCACTATATCAACATAATTCATTTATTTACTCGACAGTTCTCTTAAGCATCTCCTTTGCACTAAGTACTGTGTAACCTACTAGGGGAAACAAAAATATGTGGGACCCGAACAGTGCACCCTGCAACTGTGCTGGCCATGCAAGCCAAGAGAAAATAAAAAGGGATGAAATTCACCTGCCAGTCCTTGACTCTGGTCCACAGTAGTGTTTGCCTGTGACTTTTTTTTAACATTTTCTAATTTCACAGAAGGAGAAGTTGGCAAGCATATAGCACTTCTCTGCAGATTATGAAAAGGTGCCCTTCCCCTGCTGAGTTGCCTTCATGCAGGGAGCATACTTTTTCCTAACTCACACTGAGATCTAACCAGGATCTGTTACAATCTGCTAAGACTTGTGAGTTCATAAAGGCAGCATTCGAGGAAGGGCTTCAGGTGGACAGATAATTAGAATCAAACACGTCATGGCTGTGAGAGACATCAGAGCATGTCGTTGGAGGCTGGGATATGTTACACCTCTTCTGTCTTTTCATCTCATGCAGTAGGACCATCTAAATTCTTATGAAGCCTCTTGGTTCCCCTGAGTCCCCACGTGGGATCTTGACCTTCATTACTGGCAGCAGCCTTTGCCAATTTCTTCACAGCAACAACCAGGGTCATGAGATGGGAATTTTCTCCTGTCAAAAACCCCTCTGCTTCCCCATCAAGCTTTTGCTCCTCCATCTCTATTTTTGAAGCTGCATCTTTCCAGGTCTCTGCAACTCTGCTCCAGCTGTTCTCCAATCTCTCCCACACATGGGGCTTCATTCCTGTCTCTGTTCCCTGAGCTACTAAAGGTATTCATCCTTCCTGTGTCTCAGTGCACCACTCAACTCTATCAATGTCTCCAAAAACAACTAATATTTCTCTCCATTTCTTCACTGTCAAAATTCTGCAAATCTAATCTTTTCCAGTTTTCTCATTTTCTTGTCACGCCCTAAGAAAAATAATAGCGCTTTTCTGTTAGCCAGCCATAAGCGCTTTCATAGGACATACTAATTAATTTAATCCTCAAAACAATAGTCTACCACAAGCACTATCTTGGGCATCCTCACATTTTAGCAGGAGAAACAACACGGAGTGGCTAAGCTATTAGCCTAAGATCACACAGCTGGGAAGTGGTAGAGTGGGATTCTGACATAGGGGCTCTGGCTCTAGAGTCTGTACTGTCATCATCACAAAAGCTCAGAAGGCCTATTTGGAAAACTTGCCCAACTACTCTTCTCGGAAATTGCTGGCCTACCCAAAGTGATAGGATCGAGACGGTCCACTAGTACACTGGGCTCAACCAGTCAGATTCTCACCATGATAAACAAGCAGAAGCTCTGGTTTGCTGACTTTCTGGTTCCAGTGCCCGTGTATCCTGTTCCTGGATAACCATTAGACATAGCATGTTTCAAACAACCAGCTGCCCTACTCAGCTGAATGACGTCCATCTCTGTAGTCCAATAATGGGTTCAGATCATGTTTAAATCATTTAAATCACATCCTCCTAGCCACCCTGATGCTGATCTTATGAAAGCTAGTGGCCATCTCTTCTAAAGCATCAATTCCCACAGCCCCTTGCCCTGCTCTACCTTTCTGTGGCTCTCCTCACAGCTGCCTGCCTCCCCAGACCGCTGCTGTGATCCTGTCCTCTGAGATTCCTCTTCTGGCTTTTTCTTCACTTGATTAGGCTGCCTCTCACCCTCTAGGACCTGGCTCGGTTTTTCTCTTCCAGGAAAGCTGCCACGATTCCCTGAGGCTAGAAGTGCTCCACCCCACATCCTCATAGCCCTCTCTGCAAATTTTTATCATTGCATGGCCCATGCAAAATGGATGTGATTGGCTATTGCATACTCCCAAGTAAAAAATAGCAAGCTACAGAACAGCCAGGATAGTAGAACCTCTTTTGTATAAAATCATGTAAAAGAAAGACAAACGGGTCATGCCATTCACTTGCCTGAATCCTCCGGTAAATTTCCAGCTGTACTTAATAAAACACAGAGTTCAGATCCACTCTGCAGTGCTGTAGAATAGGATGCCACCCCTCTTTGACCCTTTGCTCTCTCTGTCACACTCATCCCATCCACGGTGAACTGCTATCCTCTTTCTCAAAATCATCTACTTTGTTACCACCTGGGAAACCATTTGAGTCCCCAGATGTTTGGCTGGCTTAGCTGTGTCACTGAAAATTCACATCAAGTTCCCAGAAAATCCACCTCAATTTCCCAGAAAATCCAGATCAAAAGTTGCCACCCATGTCATTCTCCTTCACCCAACATTCCATTTTCTCCAGGAACTTATTCTCTGAAAATAACTTTTCCATTCATTGGAGGTATCTTATTTGTTTTGTTTTTCTATCACTGTACCTAGCCAAAACTTAGGGTTTTGATACAATCCTCCAGTAACTCTTGCCTACCCAATATTTGTTATACTAACTACAAGTTCTGGGTTTCCCCCCAAATACCCCTCAGACTCAATAAGTGGCTGGAAAGACAGAAGTATATTGTATTCATGGTCACATTTATTATAGGACAAGGATACAAATTAGGACCACCTAAGATATAGACCCACAGGCCAGAGTCCAGCAGGGGCAGAGGACAGGCTGTATTGATCACTGATGGCCACAGCAGTATAGAAAAGCACACACACACACACACGCACACACACACACTCACACACTAAATTCTGTTTTGTTTCATACAGTTGAGGTAAATATCAAGTTACATTTCACTGAAAAGCCAAACAAATGACTTTAAACTCTCATGTCATCCATCATGAGCAATTCATCCTTCCTTCTCAGATGATTCCCGGGGGTATGTTCTTACCGAGGCCAAAACAATCAGTTACTATTGTCCCATCCAAGACAGAGACAAATGAAAATGGAAAGTTTGATCCATGTGCCAAAGGCCCGTCCTGCAGCTACAGCTGCTGTCGTCACCCCTGAGTACCTTTGCCCAAGGAATTCCCTGAGTCCTGTGGCAGGGCCTACACCCTGCAGGAAGTGCCTTGTGGCCAAGTGACCACTCACTGAAGAAGCACTGGCACATGCCAGACTCACAGCTGCTCTGGATGGCTGTGGTGGCTCTGGATCCGGTGGGAGGTGACAAGTCTTTCTCCAGGTTCTACTTCGCTGCCCGCATCCATGCTCAGGAGGCCTGGGTTCCAATATCGAAGCTTTTCTGGAACAGAAAAATTTCAGTGCACAACCACACACCTTGTCCTGATGTCTGATCATAGTCAAAGGGTGGGGGCACTGCAAGAGTTACAGCCCTCCCTGAATATTTCCTGTGGACCTGGCCAACACTTCTTCCTTGCTTCTTCAGTCTGCTGTGGGGACTTTCATTAGTCTATGAGACATGTGCTGGCTAGTGGTCAAATGAAGGCACAGCTGTTCATCCTCCTCAAAGAGCCCTTCGACTGCTTTACAAATTAACAGGAACAAAAAGTTATAAGGACTTCATGGCCAACTTCACCCATCCCTTTTTCTGAGCTTTAGGCTGCTGGAAAACCAAAACACACTCTACTTTTTCCCCAGAGCAAAGAACTATAGGGTGTTCGGTTGACATCTGTAACTTAAAAGAGATGTTCATGGTTCTCAGAAAAGGAGGGTCCATGCCTACATCATCTGAAACAGAGAACTACTAGGAATTTTTAAATGACTAAGGGCACCAAAGCACATGTGTATGTGTATGCACATACACAGGCAGAGAGGCCTGTAGAGGAGAAGGAACACAAAAATATTAGCATAGGCTATTTCTGGGCAATAGAATTTCAAGTGATGTCTGCTTTCTTTATATTTATTCTACCACTGGAATATCTTACAATAAAAATCTAGCACTTTACAGTAAAAATATAAATAAATAAGAGTTTTGGATATCAAGGAGAAAGACTACAAGAGAAAGTCTACCAGAATGAGCAGGTGGTTGAATCATCAGAAGCCTCAATTCATGGTACTAAAATATCCTTGCTTGGTTGGGATCACTGTCTTGTTTTATTTATGTATTGATTCCTTTTAATTCACATTCTCCAACCCTGCTTGACGGGAAACTGTTCTAATATATTTAACATGTATCTTTATACCTGAGCACACTTTAAAAAGCATATAGTGCCTGTGTATCTGAGTATATATTTTTTATTTATTTGGTTATCTTTATATATCTATTTCCCCTAACAAACTATAACATACATACCTCCCAAAAAAAGGTGAGAACTGATTTATATTTGAAGCCCCAGATAAAATATGGAGCTTAGCACTGAGGGACCCTACAAAGCGTATTTGTAGGACTGAACTGAAGAATTAGTTCCAATTGTTTCTCAAAAATGTCACAGCTCCTGAACTTTAAAGATAATCTGTCCTCCTGATTCTCCCCCTGCCTCTCTTTCTTTCATAGCCTTCCCCTTGTGCCCTCCTTAACCATAGACATCACCTAACAGTCTTTATCTCTCTTCTGCCCTCACTTGACCCAACCCACTAGTCAGGTTTCTATCATTTTGCCTACAGTCTGAATAGTTGTCCACTGTTAAGCCTACACAGATACTCACTTGTCGTAATAGTATCAGTAGGGGAGACCTCTGACCTTTATGAGATGATAAGGTGATGCATTTTCGCCCTCATAGATGGGATAAATGCACCAATAAAGGGGCGAACCAGCTCCTCTTTTTTCTCTTCGCCCTTCCACCTTGAGCCCTGTGAAGATGGGCTGTTCTTCCTCAAAGGGCACATTGTTCAAGGCATTATTTAGGAGTCAAACTCTCCAAAGCTGCTAGTGCCTTCATCTTAGACTTCAGTCTTCAGAACTCTGGACCAATCTATATCTGTTAATTATACCTTACCCAGTCTGTGGTACTCTGCTACAATATGCAAAACAAGTTAAGACAGGTGCTTTCCAAATCTGTATCTCTAACTTCAACCCTTGTGTGCATTCATGTGTGTGTGCACACACATGGGGAAGTGTGTGTGTCTCTGTGTGTGTGACTGAGGACTGAATTCATGGTCTTTGCACTGAGCTACATTCTCCAGCCCATTTTTGCTTTTCATTTTGATCCAGGGTCTCACTAAGTTGCCCAAACTGGCCTCAAATGTGTGATTCTCCCACCTTAGCTTCCCAGAGTGCTGGAATTACAGCCTGCACCACCACAACTACTGAACTTCAATTTCTTTGCCACACTACAGACTTAGAGCTAAGAGTCTCCAACACATCTCATCCTCACCATGAAATCCTCACTTTGTCCACCTGCCCCACCCAGGTTTCTGTTTTCTCCTTTGTCACCTCTTACTGAAGAAGCAGATATTTGCATTCTTCCCATTCTTCAGTCTCATCCTTATTGTAATTTTCCTTTCTCTCCATGCAGGATACGTCACCAGATTCTTTCATCTCTACCTAATGTATAACATGCTAAATGTGGTAGATGGATAACCAGTGGTCAACTTGTAATACCAGCTGAGTCCACCTGAGTATCACTGCCATCAACATAAAGAGGGAAATCTGGAGAAGTTGTTGTTGGTTCTCCTGTTGCCATTAGTTCTCCTAGAGGAGTTTATTGAGCTTCTTTCCTGGTATTAACTTCGCTGTTCTCATCATTAGAGGAGCTCAGGACCTTATTGTTGTTGCGGATGGCTGCAGTACTTTTGGGGGGAGCTCTGGCCCTTACATTGAGTGTCACTTCCTGGCTCCAGTACAGATCCTTCAGCCCACCTGCACAGACTTTCTAGCTTCCACCACTGACCTGTTGGCCTTCCCAGTGTAGATCCCTGGAACAGACTTGCATGAGTCATTACCATGGGATCTAGGCCTCCAGCTGGACTTGGGGTGGGGTATTGTCATGGGCAATAGGTCTTTAACTGGACAATGCAGTATATTGCTATGGGATTCAGGCCCTCAATTGGATTCTTTGGAGTCTTTAGTGTGTGGACAGATTTCATGCACTTTTGCTTTTTTTGTGTCTGACTAGGTGACTATTATAAAATAATACTACAAATTATGTATCCTATATTAAATTATTTTCCTTGAAAACTCTAACTACAATACTGTTACAACCAGGGATTTTGCTGGGTGCTGAGAACGTAGGGCTGAGCAAGACTGAATAATCTCAGGAGATAGTCAATAGACCAATAAATAATCACCATGCTGCAGAGTTGTGATCAGGGCTAAGAAGGGGGTAAGCAGGGTAATGTGAGGGTCATCAGAGTGGCCAGAAAAGGCATCTCTATAGGATGAGAAGGGAGCATGTTGTAAAAAGACTCAGGGGAGAAGCAAAAACTTCCAGGTTGAGAATCAAAAGATTCCAAGGCTGCAGTGCAAAAGAGTTCTCCATATTCAAGGACAAGCAATGTCACATTTGAGCTGCAGCTTATTGAGGAGGAAGTGACCAAAACTATGTGAGGGACTGAGGAGAAACCATACAATGGAAGTCCTTGAAAGCCACTGGAAGTATTTGAACTTTATCCTAAGTGTGATGAGAAATCAAAGGGCAGTATTTAAGCAGAGGAGGGATCCAACCCAACTTGTACTTTTATACTTGCATAAAGAATGAATTATGGGGGACAGAGTATGGAGAGCAAGGAGCAAAGCAGAAAGAAAGGTTCAATTTTTTGCACCAAATTGAGCAAGAGGGCCAAGTGTGTTGGCACATGTCTGTAATCTCAGCACTTGAGAAGCTGAGGCAGGAGGACTGTTGGGAGTTTGAGACCAGCCTCAGCTACAAAGTGACTCAAGGCCAGCCTGAACTGCACAGCAAGACACTGTCTCAAAAGGACAAAAAAAAAATTGAGCAGGAGGCAGTGGCAATTTAAACTATGCAGTGATCATAATGAGAAATGAGCCAACCTGAGATGGATGCTGGAGGTGAGCCTGAGAGAGCTTGCTGATGGATTGGGTATGGAGATAAGGGAAAGGGAGGAACCGAAGATGAGTCAGGAGTTCTGGTATAAGCAGCTAGGTGGATGATCATGCCATTTCTTGAATTGGGGACATAGAGGGAGGATCTGAGCCAGCTGGCAGTTCAGTACAGCAGGGAGTTAAAGTTTTCCTTTAGATGTGCTAAATTTAAGGTTCCAATCAGACACTCTGGTGGAGACGTCAAGTTGATAGTTGGATATAACAACGTGGGGCTCTATGGGGAAATCTCTGGCATGGAGATCCATTCAGGAGACATCACTGCAGGGGTGCATGCTGTCTTCATGGACAGGCTAGAAAAAAAAAAGAGGGTGTCAGGGGAGGAAAGGAACCCCTTAGCAAAATCTTAAGGAACTTTAGCATTTGGAGACCCTGTCTACAATGAAGAACCCAAAAAATTTTAAAAGTAGAGGTCAGTGAAAACTCCAAGAGAGTACAATGTCATGAAACTAAGAAAAAAAGGTGTTTCATGGTGCAGGTTGGGCCAAATATGACCGAAAAGCCATAAATCAAAAACTCTGAATGAGGCCCAACAAACCATTCACCGGCTTTCAGATAGCAGAGTTAAAGAGTACTTTTTGTAAAGCAAGGCTGCAAGCCCATCTGTAAGTTGTAGGTGAAGAAATAAGCAATTTGTGTAGTCTTTGGAGAAGTTCTACTCTAGAGGAGGTTGCAGCATCAGTGGAAGCTTTTATGAGATGGGGATCAACAGAGCATATTCACATGTGGGTGGGAATGAACTTTAGACACGGTGGGCTGCAGCAGAGGTAGGGAGCCATGAAGAAAGAGAAGCCCTTGGGATGGGCAGAGTGGAGGGGCAGGCCTTTGATCCAAGGGAACATCTTCCATCCTAAGAGGAAGAATAATGGAGAAAGAGGGTACACTGTGCATGCACTCAGGAGGAAAGGGAATTCTCCTTCTGTAGTTTTTCACTTCTCAATGATGAGACAGGAAGTCCAGGGCAATGACGGTGAGTGGGAGGAGGAGGAAAGGAGAGGGACTGAGAAGCAAGCATGGATCAAAGCACTCTTCCAGCTCCCCATGCAGAAAGGAGTCTTACATCAGAGTCTTACATCTGTACTACAACTAGGGCCTCCATGCAGACTCCCAGCCTAACCCTCGTTCAGACTCTCAATCCCCCATCTTCCCATCCTTCAGCGAGTCCCCCATACTACACTTTTCAAGCCATGGGATCCATTGTGGGGCTCCCCTCTGCAAAGACCAATGTCCCTACCCATCATCTGGGAACCTAGATTTCTCCATTTTCGGTCCCCACATGGTCATGCTTATGTCCAATACCACCCTTTCCCCTCCGTCTTTTACTAACTCAGTGTGCTCTGTCCATTGCTCTCCCAAATGCTATGAAATCTCTCACTTTTGCATCTTTGTTCAGGCTCCATTTGCTGCATGATCTGCCTCTTGCAGAAGTCTTAGGCCATTCCTCAAGATCCATCCTAAATCTTACTGATTCCAAGAAAATTACCAAGTCCATTAAAATTAATTTCTCCTCCCATAGTGCCTCCTTTCTTTAAAATTCATTGTAAAAAATCGAAGTCTGCCCTGTAGCATTGGCATGCACTTATGCATGTATACTTATCTATAGGTGTGCTTGTGCCTCTGTACAAAGAAAGGAGGGAATCAAGGGCAAGAGACAGGAAGGAAAAGTGGAGATGCCTGATGGACGCCTGCGGTTCCCCTCCACCGCTTATGAAACTGCTTCCCAAGACTGGCGAGGGTGACAGAAGCCTCCAGCTTTCCCTTGGCTTTCTGCAGCATCCCAGGGTGGCCTGGCCCTTCCACTTCCGGTCTGCTCCCTCTCCTCCTTCCGTTCCCCTGTGTCTCCATCTCAGACACCCAGTCACTGCATCAAATCTTAAGAAACAGCTCCATCTCCAAAAACAGCACTAGGAAGGAATTGAGAGAAATAGGGCAGAAAGAGGAAAATTGAATGCTGAAAAATTCGTGCCGAGGAGGCAAGCGCTCACCCCGCTTCCCCTGCGCCCCATCTGATAGGAGTCTGGCAGGGGCCCTGGCTTTCCAGGCACATGTGAAGACTGTGAGGGGCTGGGCCAAGACGGTCTGAGGGTGAAGGAGTGAGGACCTTCCAGCGTGTGCAGCTGAGCAGCACTAGCTCTGGGGCACCTGGCCTGTTGGAGGCAGTTTAAGGACAGGGCCGGGTAAGGTGTCTAGATTAAGGGCTGCCCCTCTCCCCTGCCAGCCTCCCCTCCCAGTGAAGCGAAGCCTGGCAAGTGTTGCCCTTTCCAGCCCCTGTTCTCTTTAGGAACCCGCAGGGGCAGCGGTGCCCTAGGACCAGAGCCAGTTGCTAGTCCTGCTCCACTTCTTTGAACCCAGTGTGCCCTGAGCCTGGGGCGGTAAAGTTGAGGGAGCCGGGTTTTAGCTGCCTGAACAAGCTGGATCTGGTTCCCAGGCCTGGCCTCTTAGTCCCCTCCCAAAGCACCGCAGAGACTGCAGCCTGATTAATGCTGCACGCTGACAGCTACAGGAGCCGGTTCGCTGTTCCCGGCAAGCGCCCGGCTCCCAGCGCTGGGGAGGCTCCGGCTGCCCGACTGCGACCCCTGGCGGCGGCGGCGGCACTCTGCAGAGCGTGCGACACCCAGGGGCCGCAGGTGGGGGCCGGGCACGCGGTAATGCACCCGCGCCCGCAGATGGTGCGGGGCGGGCGGTGCAGAAAGAAGGAAGAGCAATTTCTGCTTTCTTATAAAATAAACAGGAAAGAAGGGAACAATCTGCTGGAGATGGTGGAGGTTGATGGAGGGGTAATTGGAGGGGGGAAGGTGGAAATGTGAAAATCTGTTTATAGTTGCATTGGAATCTGTTTAATATGATGCGTACACAACATATGACTTAGAAGTTCTTCGCTGCTCTGAGCCTACTTCCTTCGTCTTCGTTTTTACTGTGAGCTCTGGTCCCACTTTCTCTTTCCTGTTTTCTGGAAGAGGCATCCATTTAGGGAACTGAAGCATAACTTGACTGTCTCCAGCGCCCTTAGTGAGCCCTCCAAAACACACTGTAATGTGAGCGTTGAAAGCCCGGTGTTTGGAGAGAGGCACTGTGAACCCAGCACATGTCTAGCTGTGTGACCTCAAATAACTTGCTCAACCTCGCTGAACCTCTTTTTCCTTCTCCGGAAAATGATGTAAGGAAATGGAAAGAGATGAAAAAAGAATTAAGATCGTACGTGCATTACGTACATGTACCAGCTTCCCCCATGGCATGTAGACATGATGTGACTGCACACACGTACTAGCACATTCATTTTCTAATCCCACATTTTTCTAGGTATAAATTATAAAATTAAATGCAATTGTAGAAAAGGAGAAAAAGCTCCTCCCTCCTCTCTACCTGAAGAACACAGACGGTGTCCTGTACCGGGTCCGCATTCCCGCCTCACGCAGGGCTTCTTGGGAGGACTATGATACTGTGATAGACTCAAAGATAGGACAGAAGCGCCCACGCGAGTAGCAGGAAGAGGAGTCTGCCATCCCTTTCCCTACGCCTGCCCCTTCTTTCCCTCCAAACACACAGCCCTGGAGCCCACGCCTGAGCACATAAGCCCACCAGGCAGCTCCCACAAAATGGTGTACAGTTAGAGCTGATCCTAGCTCAGGGGGAGCTGGATACCTTAGGTCAGCTCTCAAAGGCTGCGATCAATGTCCTTCATCTTGGGGTTAGCACTACAAATATTCCACATTTGGACACACACGAGGCTTTCTGCTAGGGGCTTCCAAGATGTACAGGTTCTCCGGGAGACTCCTATGGAGCATGCTTTAGTTGAGGAGGTGTGATGTTCACGGGAGGAAAAAGAAGTAAGAGACAACTACACAACACATAGTGATCATAGATGGCAGATATAGAGTCCACCAAGGACTCCCCAAGCAATATGAGGTCACAAGGTGAAAAACTGAATGAGATCAAAGTTGAGGGTTCAGCCGAGTCCCAAGAGCTGCTTTGATACAGTGGGCAGGTGCTGCCCTCTAAGAGAAGGCTGTGTCACACGTGTACCACCCGGCATGAGCGGATAAGCTGTCTCCTCAAAGATAGGGAGGATGCTGTGCCATCTTTAGCCCCTAGACTTTGAACTTATCTCCAGGAATGACCCCCATCCAAAGACCACTCTGAGCGTACCACTGTCAGGTCCTCTCTTCAACTGAGCTGCTACTAAGTTCCAAGGGATAAGCAAAAGGAGAGATGGGGCTTGATTTTTCAAGATACTTCACCCACTTATTGATCAACTCACCTACATCATCCGTCCATCCATTTATCTATTCAGTCTTTCCTTCGACTAATATTTTATTTAGAAATTATTATATACAGGGAACTGAGTCCTGTGCAATAAAGAGTACAAAATAATTATATCTTTTCTTTCCTTTTGCCCAGCGAGATTCCAACAATACCCTGCTTAATTTTAAAGCATCTCCGCTTTTGTCCCACTCCATCTGTGGGAGCCCCTGAGAGCCACAGGACTCAATCCACTACAGAATCAAGGCCCTAATAACACACGTCCCACTAGTCTGATTAGCAAACTCTCATCTAATTGTTTAGACTTTACTGAGCCACCCACCCACTTCCCAAAGAGACAGCACTCACCCTTAGCATTGGGTACAAGTGTGTCCAGCTCAGTCCCACGCTAGATGCCAAAATATGGCACATAAGCTTGTTCAAATCATCCCTCACATGTGCCCAACCCCTGGGGTGTTCAACTAGAATCATTTCAGTAGTTTTTTCCCTCCTGATACCTCTCAATCTCACCCATGCCTTCATGGGATTTGTGGCAATCTGCGCTCTTTAAAATATTTTCTGGAGTGTGTTTGTGTGTCCTTAGTGGTGGCAGAATGCTGTATAATTATCTCCCAATTCATCAGGCTCCTTAACAGGCAAACGCCTTTTTTTCCCAATAAGTTTCTCTGGCTGAGGCACCAATAGGCCTTGTTGCTACGGAAACCAGAACGTTTCTCCCTCTGTTTTAATGGTATGTTGCAGGCGACGTGCATGTATGCAGCGCACACACACAGCGGCCGCTTGCGTTTCCAGCCCTGCTCTCCCTTCCCACCTCTTCTGACCTGTCTGGCATCCTCCCGACATTCCATGTTTCTGAACGATGCCCCTCATCCACAGCCCCGCTTGTCCCCTTCCTGCCTTTCACCCTGCCTCCACCTCCCCCTACCCTTCCATCTGGTGTTCTCAGCTGCTTAAAAAGAAATACCAGTTGGCTGTGCTCGCAGTTGAAGAGGGAGAGAGAAATAAAAGGTTATTGGAGAAACAAAGCTTTGCAAAAGCCTTTGGGCAGCCAGGTGTTACTTACGGAAAAGTGGTGGCTTCACTTGCTTGGTCACCTTCCTAGAACAGGGGCCACTTCAGAGATCGGGGAGAGGGGGAAACAGTGCAGCTCTGTGCATGTGCAGGAGCTCAGGAGTCCCTTCCCTTCCCGGCAGCACCATCTGCTACTGCTGCTTGCAGGACAGACGAGGGGCCTCCCCACCAGACCCCGTCGAGTTCAAGGGCTGTTAGAGGTGGGAGGGCTCTATTGAGACTTCTTTGTTTCTTAGGTGTTCAATGAACATTTCCTGAGTGCTCAGTATGCACCGGCACTGTTCTAGGCACTGGGAAGACACAGATGGTCCCCGTCCTTAGGAAGCGTGACCAGCTCCCAGCTACTTGCCAAGACAGTGTGAGAGTCAATGTGACATTTGGGCTCTGGAGTAAAAGCAAAACTCCGAGCCTGGGGCCACCTCTTGCTAACTGTGACCTTGGAGAAAGGACTAACCACCATCTTTAAGACTCATTTTCCTCTTCCCTAAAAAGTAGATCATAGTGAGTGTTTCTGGAGATTAAATAAAATGCTGAGTATTTATTAGCATCGTAAATGCCTGTTGTTGTTGCTGTCATTATTATTATCACTGTCAGAGTCATGGAATGGCCAGGACAAAGGCAGGCAGGGAGTCACAAAAAAAGATTTGGGCTGTTTAGGGGGGCTGGGGGGGGCAGGAAGAAGACACCAATCAGAAAAGAAAGAACGGGTATCAACAAGAAATTAAAGAAAACATGCTGGAGAAGGGGGGAAAAGCCCTTTATACATTGGTAATGTGAATATCAGCTAGCACCACTATGGAAATCAGTATGGGTAGTTCATAAAAATCTAAAACCAGAAATTCCACTGGACCCAGCCTTTTCCCTTCTGGGTATCATTCCAAAAGATTTAAAGACCTCTGAGGAATACATGCATACTTTGTTTACAGCAGCACAACTCAAAGTAGCTCTATCTTGGAAGTGCTCTGTAAGCCCATCAACACATGCATGAGTGATTGTGGTCTCTACACATGGTGGAGTACTACTCAGCCATAAAAGAAAAACTTGATCATTTGTAAGAAAATGGATATACAATCACACACAGAAGATTAAATATAACATGATTTCTCTTATATAAGAAATCCAAAATACAAATAATTTAAAGAACAAACTAAAAGACAGGTGACAGGAAGCTGGGAGAGATAGGAAGGCAAAGGAAATAAAAATGGCTAAGATGCGGATATGGGTATGTGCCAGGTCCTCGAGGCGAAGGTAATTCTCACCTGTCACAAACACGTGATTCTACTCAGAGAAACCAGCAGTGTGAAGGCCTGAGTGTGGTCAGGCATGTTCTGTGCATGTGTCTTTGCTGGGCACAGGACTCTGTAAGGGCACTGGTGCATGCTGCTTATAGAACCAAGCCTCAGGCCCCCAAAGGGCACAGCCCACTCACTGTTTACAGAGGAAAACATTCCCTTGGGACAGGCAAAGCACCCGCCAAACCTTCACCTACTTTAAGAATTAATGATGCTGACAGACACACTTATATATGCCTGTGATCCTAGCACTTGGGAAGCTGAAGCAAGAGGATCACCATGAGTTGGAGGCCAGCCTGGGCTACCTAGTAAGTCCAAGGTCAGCCTGAAATACGTAGCAAGACCCTGCCTCCAAAAGAGAAAAAAAAAGGTGGGGTTCCACTTCTGGCCCGAAAAACAAATAGTACCTCTTAGGCTCCTGTGGCACACACACCCCCCCAAACTTTCAGCTCCAAACATTCTTGAACTTTGTAATATAAAATGATGGCACATGTTCATTTTTTCTGGTAAGACAATGATATTTTTGCAAATAAGTCCAAAGGAAATCAGAGCTGACCAAAAGTAACCAGACAACAAGTAAATATATGCAATAGTTTCTGCTATGGATTAAAAACTGGTGGTCAGCTTAACACCAGCTGAATTAAATCAGTATGGTGCTGAGCCTAGATGTTGCACCTGAGGAAAGCTGCCAGCATAAATAGAAACATGGAGAAGATGAGTAAGGCATTGTGGGTTACTCGAAGTGTTGCTGTTTTGAGCCATTGGTTCTCCTGGAGGAGCTCATCATGGCTAGCTTCCTCAGCATGAGTTTGACCATTGTCATCAGAGGAGCTCCGAACCTTATTGGTGAGAGCAGCTGTGGTTCACTTTGGGAGAGCTCTGGTCCTTACATCAAGCATCACTTCCTGGCACCAGAGGGGAAGATGTGTGCTGTTTAACCTCCAAGAGAAACTTGTCACACTGGCTTTCTGGCATGCACCCAACTATTCATGTGTTGTCAGAGGAGCTCGGGACCTCCATGTCACTGAAGATGGCTGTGGTGTTTTTCAGGGCAGCCCTGGTCCTTGTTTTGAGTGTAACTTCTCGGCTCCAATGTAGAACCCTCAACCACGGCTCCTTCATCCCACTGGCACAGACTTTTCTAGCTCCCACTGCTGACCTTTGGGCCTCCCCAGCACGGATCCGTACAACAGACTGGTGTGAGTCCTTCTCGTGTGCTCTAGGCCCCCAGTTGGACTTGTGGGAGGCATTGTCATGGGCTCAGGGTTTTCATCTGGACTCATGCAGGACGTTGCTATGGGATCCAGGCCCTTGGCTGAATATTCTGTATCTTTAGTACTGTGGAAAGATTTCCTGCACTTTCTTGTGTTTTACTCTGGGTGACCATCATAAAATAATAGTATAAATTCTATGTCCTGATTGTAATTGTTCTCCTCATAACCCCTGGATGCAACAGTTTCCTGTCTCTATCCACACCACAGCTGGTGCCTATAACAGGAGGTTTTCCTGGCATAGAATGAATGTTTGTAATTGTAGATGTTCATTTTCTCTTATATACTCATAAAGGATATCTTTCCCTGGATTGATTAGTATTCTGCAGTCTTTCAAAATTATTGGAATGGATTACTGCTATAATTAGTGGACAGATGCATGTATGCATACATATTTTAATGGATCTGATGAAGGTGTAAAAGATATACCTAGGTGAAATATGTTTTAAAGTAAGGATACGGCAAGGAGGAGAGTGGAATAAAACACAAGCCTCACTAGGTGCAGAACACTATGCAAATCTTTCTACTTACCCGCCTGTCTGAGCCTTGCAACACCACATGTGATAAATACTCTTATACTCATTATGGTCAACTGAGAAATTAGCCAAAGGTCATCCGTCTAATCTGTGATGGGGCTACGGTCACATCTGATTTGTCTGGCTTCAAAGCCTCCAGCAGATCTACCATTTACCAGCATGCACAGAGGAATAAGAAGATGGTTCTTTGATCAATATCAGTGTCAGCTTTTGACACAACTCACTTAACATTTTTATCTTGTGGGGCCCCTTCCGGGAACCTAGTTGACTGGCAAGTCACTTTTATCCTGTCTCCTCCCCCCAATGTTCCCAGACTACAAACCTCTTTTCCCTCATTCCTTCTGCACCTGAATTCTAGTCCTGTCTGTCTCTAGATCTCTGAACTACAGCGGTTAAAAAATAAGCAAACTCATTTAACTGATACAAGAGTGTGATACTTTGTCATATTTTTATTCTCCTAATATTGTCTACTTTATAAAATCTGATAGAACCAAATGACTGTCCAATTGATAAAGTCGAAGACAGGGAGACAGAACAAAATGATTAATTTCAGGAAAACTAAAGAGAGAGAGAGAAACAAAGGTTGAATCACTGAGATGTTTTAATAGCTTTATTGTATCACTGACATACAATACATGACCTATATTTAAAATGTACAATGTGAGTGGAGCTGGCATCTGCAGACATCCATGAATCATCATCACACGCAAGACAAACTTAGCTATCATTCTCAACAATTTCTTCTTGTTGGAGTTTCAAATCCCTTAAGTTGGGCCATTTCCTAAACAATGTGGCTCTGAGGATAAAGGTGGTATCAGTAACCATGGCAGGGCTCCATGATATTTTTATAAACTAAAACAATGTAGTTTCATAATCAATTTTTGAAATCTGTTTACAGTTCTGGAATGATGGACCTGTTCAGAGGTGTAATTGCCAACAAAACTCATAGGGAAATGGTCCTCTCCAGACAACACACAGTACGCCAGACAGCACTTCTACAGAGGTCCTGAGAGGAAGACACATTTACATTTAAGAAGGGGGAAATTATGCACTGGAAAATTCCATGAGTTCACTGTCTAGCTCCAAGGACCACATCAAGAAATGTCAAAGCAGATGATCACGTCAGGGATCCAACAGGACCCCAAAGGGCAGGGCCAAGGAGGGTCGCCATTTCTAATGACCAGGCACAGCCCAAATGTGGAAGCAGGAAACGTGAGGCTCCATCACTAGACTATAGGGTCCTCAAGAACAGGAAGCCCATGAATTGATTTTGGTGTCCTTAATACCTGTATTTCTTGGCAAAGTCCTGGACATACTGTGTGGAAAGAAATGCTGAATCATTAACTGGAATATTTATTTGATATGAAATGTTCTCTGGTTACAAGTAGGAGTCCTCAACATAGCTGCTCATGGAAACTACCACCCCAGTGGTCATCCAGCAGGAAACTTCCTGGGAGAAAAGCTCTCACTGGGACCTCTTGGTGTTCCATGGACTTCACACACTAGCATCTACTAATAGTAGACGCTGGGTGATGTTAGGTTTTGATGGTGAGGACGCATAGATGAGTGAGAAGCCTGTAGCAAGAGAAAAATGCAAATACAACAGCACCCAAGGTGAGCACATTACCCATTTCAGGAAGCCAAGGGAAGTTTCTAGCAGCCAAGATCATTAAGCCTCATCACAGCTACCTGGAGAAGTGCTGTTTTCATCTCTAGGTGCCCAGAAAGCAAGAAGTCTCAAGTCCAAGCAGAAAGCAAAAAGTATTAATGCAGAAAAATCATGAAATGTGGCAGCTTGAATACTTTTACAACCCCTCATAGTAAAAGTTTATTTTTAAATTAATAATGCGTTGGACATCATATATATGTGTGTAATTTGATGTTTAGAACTCTTCAAGGTAGGTACTGTGTTATGATACTCAATTGACAGGTGGGGAAACTGAGGCTGGGGAAATTGAGGAATCTAAATTTTTACAACTAGTACATGGCCAAGCTGGGTGAGTCTGACTTTCTGCTTGCGACTGCTG